CAGTGGGCCTGGGAGCCGGCAAGCTCGGGCCAACTTCTATTCCAATGGAGTGCCGAGGATCGAGGTCCCCCTCGCGGAGAGCCACGTCGAGGTTGTCCGCCACCACAAGCTCCTCGGGACCTACGTAGCCGACAACGCATCTCCTGGGGTGGATGTCGCAGTGAAGGTAGCCACCGCTGCGACATCCACGCGGCCTCTCCATCGTGAAGTCCACCGTCGTTCAGAGCTGGCCGTCAAAGACAAAGCCTACCTAGCCGACAGTGTGGTGTTATCCCAGCTGCTATACAACGCGTCCACCTGGCCTGAACTTACAGCAGGCCAGGCCAGGAATTTCAACAACCAGTACATCGTGAACTACGCTGCCGCACAGAGGATCACTTGGAAAGTGCGACAGAAGAAGGAGGTCACGAACACCCAGATCCTCGAAGGAGTCGACAAGCTGCCCCCCGAGATCGTCCTACGTCTTGAGAGACTTCGACTATTCGGTAGATGCCTCAACTGGGGTCCCTTACACCTCCGCCGATTACTCAGCCAAGCATGGGGCGGGAGTTACGGCTGGGTAGCACTGCTCCGCCGCGACTTAGACTGGGTCCGCGACCACACAGGACCTGGCGAGCGTGGTGGAGCATACACGCTCGAAGACTGGAAGGACTGGGCCAGGAACGACTACAAAAGCTACCTCAGCGCAGTCAAGAAAGCTTGCCAACGCGGCAAAGCCCGCCAGTACGATCACGACCACCACGCTCGATGGCGGCTACGACTCCAGCGGTGGACAAACACGGAAGCCATCTCGCCCTTCCCAGACCAGCACTTCGAGCAGCAGCGCAAGTACCTCTGCTACCACTGCGGACGTACTGAGCTCAGTGCAGCAGTATTACGAGCCCACATCACCAAGGACCACACCTCGTCGGGGCATCCCATTTCGTGGGCAACTGGCTCGGTCTGCTACGGATGCGGCATGGACTACCACACCGCGAACAGGCTGGTCAAGCACTTGCTGCGTGTGCGCAGGTGCGCTCGACACTGGCGAAAAACACGTCCAGCACTTCTCAGCAAATCCGAGCTGCAGCACAACCAGCAAGTGGTGCGCGACCAACAGCAGGCGAACAGAAGGGCTGGCAGGCCCATCGACTGGGCAGAGAAGCCTGCAGTCCCTGCTCGTCCTCCAGAAATACACACGGACGAGGACAGCGACGACAGCAATAGCGGCCACTACCAGGACCTCGAGCTCCCCTTCATCGAGGAACCACCGCCGCCGCCAGCTACTGTACCCAGGCCCAGGCCAGCTCGGACACTATACGTGCTGCATCTGTTCAGTGGTCGTCGCCGAGAGGGAGACGTTCAGGACTGGTTCGACCGTATAAGCAGTCGGGCCTCATGCGACATACACATGCTCAGCCTGGACGTGGCTAACGACCCGACCTTCGGCGACCTGGCATCAGAAGTCGCAGTCAACAAGTGGCGAAGCATGGCACAAGCAGGGAGGATTGCAGGAGTCATCGGCGGACCGCCGTGCGAGACCTGGAGCCGAGCGCGCCACCTGCCCCCCAATGACTGCAGGGGTCGCCCACCAAGACCCCTGAGGAGCAGCAACAGCTTGTGGGGCCTCCGCTACCTCTCCCGCCCAGAGATGGAACAAGTAGCGATAGGCAATCGCCTATACCGGACACAGCTGGAGCTCATGTATATGTGCCTCAACCTTGGCGTCCCAGGCATGCTCGAGCACCCGTGTGAGCCCACCGAGGAGCATTTCGCCAGCTCCTGGAGGCTCCCCGAGACGCGCCACCTCCTGGGCCAGCAGGGAGTCGAGCTGATCACCTTCGACCAGTGCACCTGCGGGGCGCGTTCGAGGAAGTCCACAAGCCTGCTGGCGGTATCCCTCCCAACTCTCCGATCGGAAATAAGTAGACTGCCTGGAGGCGGGAGGTGCTTCCACACGGCCACGTGCCACGCGGAGCTGGCGGGCATCAACGACGACGGCCAGTGGCGCACCGCGGCGGCCAAGGAGTACCCGAACAGGTTGTGCCAGGCCATCGCGACTGCACTGATGAAGCCGATAAGATGGCGATTTGGCGAGACGCCCAGCGACGCCAACGGATGGCACATCGACGACGACGTGGCCCACTTCTTCCAGCCGCTCGACCGCTACAAGACCAGGGAGATGGGCCAGGACTACCACCGAGGCCCAGCGAGGCGAGGGAGCGCCCCGACCTGGTTGGAGGAGGCGAGGGAGTGGGCCCTGCAGGACCGACCCGACAAGGCACTGGGCAGGACCACCAACTCGATGGGCGCTGATCGAGCACAGGCTGATGACGCGGATCGCGATGAAGAGCCTTGACGACAAGTACAAAAGAGTCAGGACGCAAGTCCTGAGGAAGCCCCGAGTGCGAGGGAACACCTCAGGCAACGTCGCCAAGTTTTGCGCGAGTTGTCAGGGCGCAAGTCCTGGGGAAGCCCCGAATGCGCGGGAACACCCCGGGCACAAGTCGCCACGTTTCGCAGCAGTGATGGACATGGCCGCCGTACAGCCAGGGCTCAGAGGTACCAGCCAGACGACATGCCAACTACACCATGTACAAGTCAACGCTGCCCTGGTGAGGCAAGGATCAAACTTCGAGACGGGCTCGAAGGGTGGGGGGGCAGGGCGAGCACTGCCCGCGCCTACCAGGGGGGATGGTGAGGGGCAGGGGGGGGGGGGGGTAGGACGCAACTACCCGCGCCCCCGCGGTCCGCCCTAGCTCGCCACCCCCACCATTCCCACGGCGGAGACGGAGCTCCCGAGCGCCCAAGGGCGAAGCATAGGGCAGCCGAGACCTTCCTCATCGACAACAGAAGAATCACTGGGCTTGGGGTTCGCCCCCACCGAGGGCACTGTGACCCCTAGCCATAGCGGGACGAGGTGGGGCCGCCAAGAACCCCACTTGAAGTCGGTGCATGGAGGCCCTGAGTGCGCCCACAACCTATTCCACATCACCAGCAACAAGCCGATTCCCAACGACCCGCAACCAGCACGACAAGTACCTCAGCGGCTGAGTCGAGCACCAGGAGCCTGAGCCCCACACAGTCAAGCAGTACCACTCGACCAGCGCGACCGAGCCCAGTACCAAGAGCTTACCATCACAGAGCCAAACGTACCACTTGATCAGCGATACCGAGTTGAATGGAGAAGGTTCGAGCATACCGAGCCAAGTACTACCACTCCGACCAGCACGACGGTGCCGAGCACCACAGGTTCGAGGGCCAGCTAGTCAGCCACTGCTTCGACCAGCGCGATTGGCCCGAGCACCACAAGTTTGGCATCACAGTCACAAAGTGTATAGCGAGGGCCAGCACGACCGAGTCGAGGACCACAGCTCGTGCTCTACTGAGTCAAGCCATACCAGGATGACTAGTGACTGAGACGAGGGCCACATGGTTGGGCACCGCAGAGTCAAACAGTGTCATCTCGACCAGCATGATTGAGTCGAGTACCACAAGCTCGAGGACAACAAAATCATGCTGTACCACAAGATCGAGGACTACCGACGTGGCCCAGCGAGGCGGATGAGAAGGCCTCGTCCAGGACCACCAGATCGACGAGTACTGAGAGGGGGGGGCTCCTGAGGCTCGGCGAGCTCGCAGCCGACGACGCCTGAGGGGGCCGAGACGTCGGGGTCCCGAGGGACATAATTTGGTGCCTCCCCCTATAACCCCCAGCTCTCTTCATCTTCCAGGGCTTGACCCATGGGTATCGTCTTGGCCTTCTGGCTCTGGTGGGGTTAGGGGGAGGCACGCCAGGTGGGCCTTCTGCCCGCCGGGTCCCAGCGCCCGTGCGCTGCCGCCCAGGCCAAGGACAGGCTGCTGGACGGTGGCGGCCATCCTGGGCGGCAGCGCACGGGCCACAGACCAATTCGGCATCTCGAGGTGGTCCGAGGCTTCCTCCCCTCTTCCTTGCCTACCGAGGCCCTTCCCCCCCTTCTCTCGGAGGCCTTCGGACTGCCGCCTGGCTCTTAGGCTTGCCTAGGCCTCGCCCCCCCCGCTCCTCCTCCGCCCCGTCATCCTGGAGGCCTCCTTCCCTCTCTCCCTGGGCGGGCCCCCCCCCCCGCGCCTTGGGCGCCAGCATGTCGGCCGCGCGCGCGGCCAGGCATGGGCGCATCGGCGCCCCCGATGCGGCACAGGGAGCACCCTCATGCCGCGGCAAACAGCGGAAACAACAGCGGAGGAAGAGGATGAGGATGCTGCTGATGGTGATGCTGGTGCTGATGAAGATGCTGCTGATGATGATGCTAATGATGATGCTGACGATGGTGATGATGATGATGATGTTACTGATGATCGTGACGACGCTGATGATGCTGATGATGACGATGACGGTGATGACGAATACTATGATAAGTATGATGCTGGTGATTATGATATGTATTGTGATGCTGATGATGGTGATGATGCTGATGCTGATGCTGCTGCTGACGATGTTGATGATGAGGTTGATGATCGTTATTGTGATGATGATGGTGATGGTGAATGTGATGGTGATGATGATGCTGCTGATTATGATGATGCTGATGACGATGGTGGTGGTGGTGCTGCTGCTGCTGCTGATGATTATGATTATGATGCCGATGCTGCTGATGTTGCTGATGATGATGGTATTGATGATGCTGCTGATGATGTTGATGATGATGCTGATGCTGTTGCTGATGCGGCTGCTGCTGCTGATGGTGATGATGGTCATGCTGATGATGATGATGATGATGATGATGATGATGATGATGATGAGTTCTCTTGATGTGGTCTTCCAATGCGTCTTCCAATGCGCTCGGTTGCGCGAGCCATTGACAGATAAGGATAGATCAGGTACAAGCTCGGGCGGCAATCGCCAACACCGCTCAGCAGCCTCGCTTGGGAAACGCCTTTGAGCCTGGGCATAGACCGTGGAGTTACCAGGACTTGAAGGGGATGCGAAGCAAAGCGGGGGAGAAGGCGGCGGTGGCCGCGGGCAAGGGGATCGGCGCCCCCAGGAAGACTCCCCACGCCCAGCCAGTCCGCTCCCTCCGAGGCTCCACCCGGTGCGCTCGACGGCAGCGACGGAGGGACGGAGGGAGCACGGAGCAGGATGTGCTGGAGGAGGAGGGCGAGGGAGGAGGACGAGGGAGGAGGACGAGGGAGGAGGACGGAGGAGGATGACGAGGGAGGAGAACGGGGGAGGAGGACGGGAGATGAGGACGAGGGAGGAGGACGAGGGAAGAGGACGAGGGATGATGATGATGACGATGATGATGATGATGCGGATGATGATGATGATGAGGAGGATGATCATGATGATGATGCTGATGATGGTGATGATGATGATAATGCTGATGATGCTGTTGATGATGATGATAATGCTGATGCTGCGGATGATAAGGATGATGAGGATGATGAGGATGATGAGGATGACGATGATGAGGATGAGGAGGATAAGGATGATGCTGATGATGATGATGCTGATGGTTCGGATGCTGATGATGCTCCTGATGATGATGAGGATGATGGTGATGCTCCTGCTGATGCTGATGCTGATGTTGATGCTGCTGCTGATGATGCTGCTGCTTATGTTGCTAATGATGATGACGAAGAAGATGACGATGAGGAGGATGAGGAGGAGAAGGAGGAGGAGGCGCAGGCGGAGGCTGAGGCGCAGGAGGAGAAGGCGGAGGAGGAGGAGGAGGACGAGGAGGAGGAGGAGGCCGAGGAGGAGGAGGCGGTTGATGAGGAGGAGGATGAGGAGGAGGAGGAGGAGGAGAAGGAGGAGGAGGAGAAGGAGGAGGAGGACTAGTGTAAACCTAAGAATCATCAACGATGTTGGATTTAACCCTCCCTCCAAGCTCCCTCTTCATAGGCCCCATGCAACGGGTCATCTTCATTGAGGGAACTGCCTCGTTGGAAGACAACCGTTTGAAGACCTTGAAGCATGCCAAAACAGTGTTCCCGGGATGTCAACGCCACGGATCAAGCTGACTGTTGCGTCTTGACGATCTGGGATCGTGCCAGAAAGCCATTTTGGGACTTCAACACCGCGAATCAATAGAATTGCTGCATTTGCATAATCTTGAACCCTTCCAAAACACAAGTTCTGCAACGTTGATCACGGGAGTCCGTGAAACGTTTGCAAAATTGTAAAACGAATGTGCGCGGCGCCACGGCGAGAGCCACATTTTGAAAAGGAGCCGCCCTCAGCCCGTCAAACTCTTGCAAGATTATTGTTAACGAATGTGCGCGGCGCTACTGCGAGAGCCACATTTTGAACAGGAGCCGCCCTCAATCCGTAAATCCCTGGCATTTTTCTTGCACGAATGTGCGCGGCGCTAAGGCAAGAGCCACATTTTGAAAAGGAACCGCCTTCAATCCGTGAAGCTCTTGCAAGTTGTTTACAACGAATGTGCGCGGCGCCAAGGCGAGAGCCACATTTTGAAACCCGCCCTTCACATGAGAAGCTGTTGCCAATCTTTGAGCGTCAGAGTCATAATGGTGAGGAAGTCTCAGGCGAAACGCCCAGCCCGCCCTAAAACATGTCATCGGGGTGCGAAAGGGAGAAGTTATTTACAAGGAAAAGAAATGGAGGAGGAGGAGGAGGAGGAGGAGGCGGACGAGGACGAGGGGCAGAGGAGGAGGAGGAGGGTGAGGAGGAGGTGGAGGCGGAGGCGGAGGCCGGTGATAATGATGATGATGATGCTGCTGATGATGATGCTGATGATGCTGCTGCTGATGAGGATGATGATGCTGATGCTGATGATGCTGCTGATGATGATTATGCGGCTGAAGGTGATGCTGATGATGACGATGACGATTGTGATGATGGTGCTGATGCTGCCGATGAAGAAGATGATGATGCTGATGCTGTTGATGCTGCTGCTGCTGCTGATGATGCTAATGCTGATAATGATGCTGCTGCTGATGATTTGGCTGATGATGCTGATGCTGATGGTGATGACGGTGCTGCTGCTGATGCTGCTGATGCTGATTATGGTTATGATGCGGCGGATGATGATGGATATTATGCTGATGCTGGTGATGATGTTGATGCTGCTGATGATGATGATGATTTTGACGCTGCGGATGAGGATTCGACATGATGCTGATGCTGATGCTAATGATAGTGATGCTGCTGATGCTGATGGTGATGATGATGATGCTGCTGCTGATGATGATGTTGAGGCTGATGATTATGCTGATGATGCTGCTGATGATGATGATGCTGTTGCTGCCGATGATGATGATGATTATGATGATGCTGCTGATGATGATGATGCTGATGCTGATGCTGATGCTGATGATGATGATGATGATGATGATGATGATGATGATGATGATGATGATGATGATGATGATGATGATGATGATGATGATGATGATGATGATGATGATGATGATGATGATGATGATGAGAGAGGGAGGAGGAGGAGGAGGAGGAGGAGGACGAGGGAGGACGAGGGAGGAGGACGAGGGAGGACGAGGGAGGAGGACGAGGGAGGAGGATGAGGAGAAGGATGAAGAAGGAGGACGAGAGGGAGGACGAGGGAGGAGGAGGGAGAGGGGGAGGAGGGGGAGGACGGGAGGAGGAGGAGGAGGAGGAGGAGGAGGAGGAGGAGGACGAGGAGGAGAAGGAGGAGGAGGAGGAGGGGGAGGAGGGGGAGGAGGAGAAGGAGGAGAAGATGATGATGATGATGATGATGATGATGATGATGATGATGATGATGATGATGATGATGATGATGATGATGATGATGATGATGATGATGATGATGATGATGATGATGATGATGATGAGGATGAGGATGAGGATGATGATGATGATGATGATGATGATGATGATGATGATGATGATGATGAGGAGGAGGAGGAGGAGGAGGAGGAGGAGGAGGAGGAGGAGGTGGTGGTGGAGGGAGGAGGAAGAGGAGGAGGATGATGATGAGGAGGAGGAGGAGGAGCGAGCAGGAGGATGATGAAGTTAAGGAGCGCGGAGGAGGGAGGAGAGGGGATCCTTGAGTTTGCAGGTTCAATGCCTTACCTGTCTTGGCTTTCTGGGCCTCCAGGGTACTCCGCGTCGCCATGGCCGGATCCGCTGCAAAGTTCTGCCCAGAATTCACCCTAGGGCTGGTCTGGGGGCCGACGTTTGACCCCCGAGCCCAGGGCCCCTTCAAGGCCATGGACAGCAAGGGCTGGCAGCACGTGATAGTGACCCCTCGCCGGAGTGACCTTCGGTGCGCTGCTTTCGGGGGTATCGGGCGGGTGGTGATGGGGGTTGACATTTTTCAGCCACGCGCAGAGGTGGGTAGGGGGAGGGGGGAAGGCTGCTTAGAAGCAGCCCGCTTCTAAGAAGCCTTCCCCCCTACCCCTACCCCCGCGCGCCGCGGGGGGTGGAGAACAGGGCCTCACAGGGCTCGCTCCTTCAGGGCCATTGCCTTCACCCCCCAGCTAGGCCCCTCGCCATGACCACCCGTCCGAGGGTAATTAGCGGATGGGCCAGACCCGGGCACGCAGGCCCCCATTGTCGCATCGCACGCGGCGATGGGAAAGCCGCGCACCGAAGGCAGCTCTTCCGTGTAGCCGAGGAATGGGGTCCTGAAGCTGCCTCCGCCGCCCCGCGTCGTGAACACAATCACGACGGACGATGTTATGGCTTGGTTCCCAACCCTTCTGCGTGGGGTTCTCGTTTTGAATAGAGAACACTGCGGTCGCACATCTCCCTCTGCTCCTCCTCCTCTGCCCCACTTCCATCCTCCTCCTGCGCCCCTGTTACCTGCCTGCTACCCTGCCTCCTATCTGCCGTCTGCCCTGCCTCCCGCTTACCTGCCCCCCTGCCTCCGCGCCATCTCTGAGGGGCTGCGATCTGTGAAAGTGTCGTCACCTTCGAGGGCTGCTGGGGGGTCCAGCGGAGTGACGTCATACGCAGACCTTAACCGAACCTCGCCATCCCTGGGGGACTGCGATCTGCGAACTTGTCGTTATTTTCTTAGGCTACTGGGGGTCAGCGGAGTGACGTCATACGCGGACCTAATTTAGACCTCGTCATCCCTCGGGGGCTGCGATCTGCGAAATTGTCGCCATTTTCGAGGGCTGCTGTGGGGTCCGGCGGCGTGACGTCATACGCGGACCTCAATCAAACCTCGTCATCCTTGGGGGCTGCGATCTGCGAAACTGTCGCCACTCTCCAGTGCTGCTGGGTGGTCCAGCGGAGCGACGTCATACGCAGAACTAAAGTCGACCTCGCCATCCTTGGGGGGCTGCGGTCTGCGACATTGCCACCATTTTCGAGGGCTGCTCGGGGGCATCGCAGAGTGACGTCATACGCAGAGTCAGATTTGACCTCACCATCCCTGGAGGGCTGCGATCTGCGAAACTGTAGCCACTCTCCCGGGCTGCTGGGTGGTCCAGCGGAATGACGTCATACGCAAAACTAAAAGTCGACCTCGCCATCCTTGGGGGGCTGCGGTCTGCGAAACTGTCGCCACTTCTGAGGGCTGCTGGGGGTCAGCACAGTGACATCCAACGCAGACTCATATTAACCTTGACTTCTTTTCCCGAGTACCGCCCGAAGACCTGGCTGCGCGCGTGCGGGCGTTCAGCTCCCGCAGTGCAAGGTGCCGGAAGGAAGAGGTGACCCTGGCGGGCGAGCTCGGCCGCGCTCGCTTCTGGCAGTAGCCATGGGCACCTGATCCTTTGGAGCGCCAGAGCGACATGGCGCGGGACGCGCTGTTTGTCCAGCGTGCCATTGGACAATGATCGCCACACTCTTTCTTCATCCTGCCTCTTTCGTTGTGGTTTTCTTCCTCCTTCACCGTCGCACTGCTGCTGCCTCGTGAACTTGTCGGCCCCTTTTCCGTCGTTGTCCTTCCTCTCGTTCCCACCCCCCGCTTCCTCTTCGAGCCTGGGACCTCGGTACTCGTCAGTCTGTTGCTGTCCTGTGAGTCGCGCAACGCGCGCGCGTTTCCCACATAGCTCGCGCAACCAATGGCGCGCCCCGTCTTTTCATCCGCCACAATATTATGGACCAGCTTTCCTCGTCACTTAGTGCAGATTTGTTGGGTACGAAACAGTTTTTTTTTTCCCCTCCGTTCGGGGTCGTTGTAAGACGTTCGGGGCCGTAGCACCATCTTGGCGAAGGACCCAACCACATGCAATTATGAGTACCGTCGTTGTGAGAACCGTCTGCGGTGGAGCTCCCGAGGGGGCCACGAAACGTGTGAATGTTGTGCCGAAGTGGGCACGTGGGCGCCATGCTTGCCCTGCCAGTGGGGCCTTCGGTGGATCTCTTTGTGGGGCCACGAAACGTGGGTGCGGTGGCGCCATGCGGACTCTGCCGCTGGTGGAGCTCCTTACGGGGGCCACGAAGCGTGTGAGGGGTGTGCCAACATAATCGCCGTGGCGCCATGCGGAACCTGCCATTGGGGCATTCGATGGGGCTCATTGTGGAGCCACGGGACGAGTGAGGGGTGTGCCGAAAGAGGTGCGCTGGCGCCATGCGGGTCTTGCCAGTGGGGTCTTCGGTGGAGCTCCTTACAGGGCCACGAAGCGTTTGAGGGGTGTGCCAGCATGAATGCCGTGGCGCCATGCGGAACCAACCACTGGGGGGCCTTCGATGGAACTCCTTATGGGGCCACGAAGCGTGTGAGGGGTGTGCCAACAGAGGTGCGGTGGCGCCATGTGGACACTGCCATTGGGGCCTTCGGTGGAGCTCCCTGTGGGGCCACGGGACGAGCGCGGGGTGTGCCAGAACGTGTACGGTGGCGCCATGCAGGCCCTGCCGCTGGGGCTTTCGGTGGAGCCCCATACGTGGTCGCGAAACGTGTGTGTGGGGGGTGCGCCGACATTGGTGCGGTGGCGCCATGCGGATCCTGCCAGTGGGGTCTTCGGTGGAGCTCCCTATGGGGCCACGAAGCGTGTGAAGGGTGTGTCGGCATCGGTACGGTGATGACGAGGCGGACGTGCGGAGGGCAGAGGCAGGGATGAGAGGAGGGGGGAGGAGGGGGGAGGAGGAGGAGGAGGAGGAGGAGGAGGCGGAGGAGGAGTAGGAGGAGGATGATGATGATGAGGAGGAGGAGGAGGAGGAGGAGGAGGAGGAGGAAAAGGAGGAGAGGAGGAGGAGGAGGACGACGAGGAGGAGGAGGAGGAGGAGGAAAAGGAGGAGGAGGAGGAGGAGCAGGAGGAGGAGGAGGAGGAGAAGGAGGAGGAGGAGCAGGAGGAGGAGGACGAGGAGGAGGAGGAGTAGCAGGAGGAGGAGGAGCAGCAGGAGGAGGAGGAGCAGCAGGAGGAGGAGGAGCAGCAGGAGGAGCAGGAGGAGGAGGAGGAGGAGCAGCAGGAGGAGGAGGAGGAGGCGGAGGAGGAGGAGGACGCGTCGCGTCGGCCGCTGTCCTTTCAAAACGAAGTCCCAACACTACAATATGGTTGAGAAAAAAACATGGTTCGGCGAAAAGCTGGGTCCGCAGGCGGAGGGAGTAGGCGGGAGGGGTGGAAGAGGACGAGGAGGACGAGGAGGAAGGAGGGAGGGAGGGAAACCTCCCAGGCATCGTTTCATGGATTTTGTCAATCCATGGGTCTTAAGGCCTCGACCCCTTCTTTGGAGGGGCAGCTCTTCGTTCCATTTAGCTTTCGAGACGCGGCTGCCTCCAGGTGCTGAGAGCAAGGAGAAACCGCCGGGATGATGTAAAACAGTCACGGCGTCGCACCTGGACATCCGTCGTTCCGATTTGTTCGATGCGAGGGCCCCAGACGTCTCTCTCTCTCTCTCTTTTATTCTGGTTTCTTCGATGTTTCGTCTTGCTATTCGCTCGACCCCCCTCTCCCAGGGCGTGGGCTTCGTCCCGGGTCGCCTTCTGATGGTCCTGGGGCCCGAAGCCTGCCGCCAGAGGCCCAAAGCGGTGACAGAGCAGCCGCCTCGGTTTTGCCGAGGCCCCAGGTGTTTGGGATCTCGTGCCCAGTGGCCTCCATCTCCTCCTCCTCCTCCTCCTCCTCCTCCTCCTCGGCGCTCCTCCTCCCCCTCCTCGGCGCTCCTCCTCCTCCTCCTCCTCCTCCTCCTCCTCTCCCTCCTCCTCCTCCTCCTCCTCCTCCTCCTCCTCCTCCTCCTCCTCGCCAGGGTCCAGTTCCACCCGATCGATTCGATTCGATGTCGACTCCGGCTGGCCCGATCCGATCCGATTTCGATATTCCGGCGATCCGGTGCGGCCCGATGCCTGCATAGCGTTGGTGTGCATTCTGGCGCAGCCGATCCAATTCGATTTCGATGCCGTGCCGAAGCAGCCCGATCCGATGCAGATTTCGATTCGATCTGATTTGCCGATTCGATGCTGACTGGTCTTGCAATCTTCGAGGCACTTCACGGCCCCCGTGTTACGGTGGTCGGGAGGCGGTAGAGCAGGATATCAGTGAAGCGGAGGAGGGATGCGCTCGTATTCGTCGGGTTGGGGTGTTCCAGCAATGGCCCCGCCTTCGAGGGATCGAGTCCTTGGAATCTCTCTCTCGTGTTGAAGGCGTCGGGAGGCCAGCGGAAGCCGGCGGAAGTAAGACGAGGCTGGCTCCGCCGGCGGACGCCAGCGGAAGGCCTTTGGAGGGACGTAAGCATCGGCTCTCCAAGAGCTGTTGCTTTGGTTGCATTCAGGTTTGTGGAACGAGCCGTGCCATTGGCTGGAGCAATGCGGAACGAAGCAGGGCGGCACCATGTGGTATGGCGGTGTTTTGTTTCCGACGTCAACGTGAGAACAGCACGACCGAACGTGATTGTGCAAGTTTTCCGTTCGGTGAGGTCATGGCTGCCGCGGGCGCGGATGCCACTGAGGAGGCGTCCAAGGCGTCCAAGGCGTCCACGGCGTCCACGGAGCCGAAGGATGCGATCATTCAGTGTTTTTAGTGTCTCTGATTTCCCTGCCTACAGGATGACAGGCAGATCTCATGAGAGGGGTATGGTATGCGGCGTCAGCCACACGTTCCACTCCGTTTTGGTATTCGGTGCTAGGGACTATTTTAGGATACCACCGTTATACTGTTGGTTGAAGCGGAGATGTATCAGGAATCTATTATGCAGTGTGGGATGGGCAGGGGTAGGGCGGGCAAGGACACCGGGACGCTTGTTTAGAATGTTTTCGCTGCTTTCTGGATGGTTCTCCAGAATGGCATTTGAATGGTTGGCCGATTGACGAGCAGCAAGTCTTTTAATAAGGCCCCAGGTTTGATCCCATGTGGCGGGGAGCGTGTGACAGGGATATAGGCAGAGAGAGAGGCAGAGAGTCAGAGGATCGTCTCTGTCAGTGATCCCTCTGGATGCCTCGACTGCCTGGCCGCTACTTCTCCCTCCTCCCACCTGCCTCCTGCCTCCTGTCTTCTCCCTGTTCCTGATCATGATCATGCTCATCTCCTCCACCTTGGTGCCCCGTGGCATCCGATCATTCGTCAAGGTCGGGGGAATATCGCTCGAATCAGGGCGGGCGCGTGCCCAGTACGAGAAGGCGTTTCTGTTCAGCTTCAGACACTGCTAGCGCGCAGCGGCCTTGGATGAGCTTCTTCTCCCTTGTGCACTGTGCGCCGCCCGACAGAGGGCAACGAGTCCTCCCTCCTCCCTCCTCTCTCTCTCTCTCTCTGTGTTTTGTGCCTCCTGCCTCCTGCCTCCTCCTTCCTCCCTCCTTCACCTCCATCTCTCCTGACTGCCTCCTCCCTTCTCCGTCCGCGCCTGCGCGCAGCGGCGCAGATACAGTCGTTCTCTGCCGCGGTGACGCAGCAGTGGTCCTGCTCCCCCCACCCTGTCAGGCACGCCAGTGTCCGCGCCCGGAGACGGCGAGCCTGGCCACCACGGCGCGGCCGTCCCCGTGGCCTCGCCGTCGCAGCGGCGGGCGAGGCTGTACGACCAGGCGAACACCCACTTCGACAGCCCTTTGCCATCGACTAGCTCGATCAAGAGTTGGATAAGCGACGGGTGTAAACCCGCACTACGATTCGAGGCTGCCCTGAAGGGGCAAAGGCGGAAGAGGTCGGAGGATCGCGCCGCGTCGCTGATGCATCGGCGACGCGGCGCGATCTGACTCCGATTTCCTCCGTCCTGACGCCGCAGGTGCATTGACGACGTATCCGCGAGGCGGTGCGATTCTCCTACCCATTTGCGGCAGCTTCGTGTCGCGTCGACCCAGTGGCGAACCCAGCGCGGGCGTTCAAGTTACGCTGCCAGTGGCCCAGGGCCAGCCTCTGGCGATCGAACAACCGCCGACCGTTCAAGGCTGAACGATAAACTCGGTGTCAAAAAGCAACGCGCACGTCGTCACGACGCGGCCCTGCTGTACTTTGGCCCTGTTCGCCGGGCCGCGAACGGTTTCGGCGAGCTCGCGCGCGCAAGCGCGAGCGCGCCGAAGGCGGGGGGCCCTCGTGCCTTGGAGGGGCGGGGCTCCCCTGCGTGTCTCGCTCGGGCTGCGACGAGCTTCCGGCGTGCCGTAAACGTGCGCTGCGGATGGCCTGGGCGGCGTCCGATCTTGTGCTCCCCCCCTGCTCCCTCGTCCCTCGTTCCGTTTTTCCCTCCTTCGCTCTCTCAACGTTCCGCCTCCTCCTCCTCCTCCGCCTCCGCAAACATGAGCGACGACACTTTTGCGTTATTGCGATGCAGGATCAGTGCGACATGCACCGAGTAGGACAACCAACTGAACGTCGCGCCCTGGCAGCGCGGCAACGCTCGTCGGACATACTCCGTCCTCGTCTTCACTTCCACCCCAGCCGCCCCCATGTCGGCCCTCCCTGCTCGCTCCTTCGCGTGGCCTCCTACTACCACGAAGCCAAATGCGCGCGGCTTGGGCGGCTTGTGCGGGAAACGAACGCGCGTGGCAGCGTGTCTTGACGGCGCTCGGGCCTGTCGCGTCGGGATACGTGGCCTTGCGCGCGTGCGTCCAGCGCCTGGCATCCGCCTGTCCCGCGCGTGAATCCACCCGCGTGTATTTCAGGCTCACCGTTTCTATGTATGGTGCGGTGCGTTCCAGATAGGGTCTCGCATTCGGCGCGTGTCGCCATAGTTGGGAGCCGGCGGGTGGCCGGCGGGAGCCAGCAGACGTTAAGCGGCGGTGGGTCTGCCAGCGAGGGTTGGCGGACATTCGCCAAAAGGCGAGGGCAATGCAAGTGAGCGACCGAAGAAAAACGGGGTCGACTGCGCTGACACTCGCACGTAAGCTTCCACGTGAGGTCGCGCGCAGGCACCTTCGCTTCCAACGTGGCGCGCCGCGCTTGCGCCCCGCCTAAGCCACCGCGCAAAGTCGCTATGCCATCTCTCGCAAGACCCGCTTCGTCGTAACCTAACCCATGTGAGTGTCTGACATTTGGGATTTCTGTTTTGGGGGGTCGGCCGCGCTTGTGCGACGGGAAAACCACGGGCGGGCCGTGGCGGTGCCACTCCCAGCTCGAGTTTCGGCGGCGGGCCGTGCAAACGCAACCCGCAAGCGTAGTGTGGGCAGGGGCCGTTCTGAGGCCCAGCGGCGGGCCATGAAAACGAAGCCCTTGGAGCAAACTATGGGCAATCGCCGCGGGAGTACACGTGTGCGCTGGCAGGGATTTCCCTTTCTCCTCCCCCGTTTTCTCTCTTTGTTTCCTTTTTGGTTATCCTCATCCTCTGCCTTGCGGTGTTCACGGCTGGGTGGGGCGCCCTGTCGCCCCACGGGGGCGGAAGGCGTGGAACGAGGTGGGGAGGAGGCACGGGCATGTCGGGGGCCCGAAGGTGGAGGGTGCAGGGGCAGGGAGGAAGGACGAGGGCGGAGGCGGGAGGATGGAATCCTGCCCTCGGGGCCAAAGGAAAAGGGGAAAAAAGGGGAGGAAAGGAGAGAGAGAGAGAGGCGCGCGACGACGACGACGACGACGACGACGACGACGACGACGACGACGACGACGACGACGACGACGACGGACCGACCGACCGACCGACCGACCGACCGACCGACCGACCGACCGACCGACCGACCGACCGACCGACCGACCGACCGACCGACCGACCGACCGACGACGACGCGCGCCCGCGCGCGCCCGGCTCAAGCAAAAGGCCCCCCCCAACTCCCTGGCCCCCGCTGCCCTGTGATGTGCCAGCGCCAGGTGCGCGGGCCCGGCCGGTGGCCCTTCTCAGAGGCGTGCCTGCACAGTCCGCCGTATGTCTGGCTTCAGTGCTTGCTCTGCCCGACGGCCGAGCGCCCTGCTGTCCCGTCCGCGAGTCACGCACGGCGCCCCCATCGAGCGGCTTCTCGCGCTGGCCACCCGCCCGCGCTGCTGTGTCGCTGGCCCTGCCGCCCTGCTGGGCCCGGGCAGCGCCGGACCGTCTCGCTCACCTCAAGGTCGGGTGTTGTTAGAAGTACCCATGGCCCAAGGTGCCCACAGGATTCTCGGGGTGGCCCAGGCGGCCTCCAGGGCACCCCTCACCAGGCCCAGGGGGCCCCAGGGGCTCCAAAATGGTGCGAAAAGCTGGGGGGGCACCTTGGGCCAGGGGCACTTCTAGCAACACCCGACCATGGGGTCGAGGCACCGCGAACCGTCCTCGCACGGGACGGGCGACGGGGCGCGTCGCCGCACGCTTGTTCCATGTCCCTTCCATGTCGTCACTCCGCCTGTCGCTCGGCGAAATTGTGGCCACCCGCAGGACAACCGCTTGCATCGACTGTTAAATCTCATTGCCATCGGCCCGTGCATGTCACAACGAAACAGAATGCACGGGTTCGTTCTGCTCGGGGGTGCGCCGGGGGCCTGGACGATGCCTACGCGTGTTTCCAGGGCGGCGCGCCCGCAGGAGGTGCAGGAGATCCTCGACGAGATCCAGGAGATGAGAGAGGACCGCGACTTCTGGGGAGAAACATTTACGTTGGGGGCGTCGGGGAATGTGCCGAGGAGGCTTCAGACACTGGGGGATTCCTTTATCTGATGAGGGCGACAGTGACTTCCACGGCTGATCCACGATTGGAGTTCCACGGGCTTCAGACGCTCGATTCCTGATCCAATGGTTCCTTATCCAACCCGTCGTCCTGCAGAGTCCTCGTCGCAACGTCTGGATTATCCTCGAAATGCTGGTTAGAACGGGTCCTTTTGGAAGAGTGGTGTCGGTATTTCGTGGTTCCCCCGCGGCTTGGAAACTGCCGCGTGCGGGCATCGTCCGTTTGCACGCCACGTGCGTCTGTAGTTTTGATGATATATCGAGGCCTCCGAGATGGGGTCGGAGCAGATGGGGTCGGAGGATCGTTCCGCATCGCCGATGCATCGGCGATGCGGCTCGATTTGGAGCCCGAATTTCTCCACGCCGACGGCCCCGACACATCGCCGACGTCGCTGGTGTACTGCCGATCATCGGCGATGCGGCGCGATCCTGCGACCCTATCTTTTTCGAACCCATTCGCAAGGCCTCTGTATGCGCATCGTGGCGGTTGTCGTCTTAAGGATATCGCCCCAGACCCCCGGTGCGGTGCTTTCTTTCGAACGTGCCCCCCGCCCCTCATGGCTGTGTTGGACTTCGTGCGCCATCTCTGGAAGAATCGCGGGGCAAGTTTTTTTCATAAGACGCTGGTCCAGGCCCTTTATTCAGGACAGTTGTTTTAGCCAGCGTCGGGTCTTGACGGTCGGGGGTCCGAGTGATCGCCCAAAGAGGCAGACACATCAGTTGTGTTTTTGTTGTTCCGTGTGCCTCATACCATGTTACGTATGCCATGTAGCCATATGCATTAAGGTGTGAGATTTGTGGAAGCTGTTGCTCTAGGGCCAGCGGTGCCTGCAAGCTTCAGAAGCCAGCGACGCCTTGTGAGTCCAGGTCTCGTGGAGTGTGTGGGGAGAGGGTGATCAAGCTATTGTCAGCTGGAAGTCTACCGCCAGGTTATAAAATCTGGCCAGACGAGCAGCAGAATCCGTCAGATCTGCAGGGTCGCCGAGTTTTGCCCGCACGCTGATGCGTTCTCGATCATTTCCTGTGCCTGAGTCTGGGAGCTCGCGGTGCATTCCCGAGGAGGAGGAGGAAGAGGAGAAGGAGGAGGAGGAGGAGGAGGAGGAGGGAGAGGACGAGGCGGAGCAAGAGGAGGAGGAGGAGGAGGAGAAGGAGGAGGAGGAGGAGGAGGAGGACGAGGCTGAGCGGCGCCTCTTGCGCCATCCCAGGCGTCCGGGGCAACTGCGGCCGCCGTCGGTTTTGGACTACATCTGTTGCTGGGCATCGTGCCCAGTCTTTCTTAACCCATTTCGGGCGTCCAGAGATCTCTCCGTTGCCCTGGAGGTCTACATTCGAGCATCTGATTAAGAAACCTCCTCCCGAACGGGTGGAACAGCGTTTCTTAACCAGCTTGCGGGAAAGCTGGCCCAGTTTCTTGAGCACGTTCGTTCTTCCAGCGTGAGCATCAAAGCTTGCCCAGGTTGGTTTGAAGAAACTTCCAGACAATTGGCCGGGGTCTACGATTTTCTGGATCATATTTTCGATTGTAGAGAGGCGGAGGCCTCCCGGATGCTCAACACGGCCCCAACCGCCCTGGCCCAGGATCGGTGCGCGTGCCTCCCCGGCGAACTGGGGGGGGTGGGGGACGGGGCCTCGACGACCTCGCGCCAGCCCAGGGCCAGGCCGGCCAGGACCAGTGAGGTGGACGGCCGGCGTCGGTCGGCCGCGCGGAGGGGGGGGGGCGCGCGGGGAGGACTCCCGAGAAGCCTCACAAGGGGGCCTCCGACGCCCTCCGCAGGGCCCGCCCGCCCCTGTCGGGAGGGCCACCCCCCTGGCGGCTAAACCTCGGCGGCGCGCCGAAGTGGGAGTTGAGAGGAGGCTTTCTCAGAAGCCCACCGGCCTTCTGAGAAGCTCCTCGGTGGCTTCGGCGAAGGCCTGGGGGCCATCGCCTCTCGGGAGACAGCCCAAGCGGGGCCGAAGTACTTTGACGCTTCGACACGCTCGAAGGATCGCGCCGCGCCGCCGATGCATCGCCGATGCACCGTCGACGTCGGCGCGAAGATCATCGGGCTCCACATCAGGCCGCAGCGACCCCTGTCGCGCGGCTTTCGGGGGGGCGCGCGGAGAGGGGGGGGCAAGCTCACGTGTGCGCAGGCCGCCGCGGTCGCACCGCGTGGGAAGATCGGCAAACCGTGCGTTCCAAAGGCCACCCGTGCCCAGCGCCACTCTTGCGTATAGCCGATGGCGTTCTCCGATAGTCCTCCTCCTCATCATCCTCCTCCTCCTTCTCCTCATCCTCCTCCTCCTCCTCCTCCTCCTCCTGCTCCTCCTCCTCCTCCTCCTCCTCCTCCTCCACCTCCTGCATGCAAAGCTGTGCCTCCTCCTCCTCCTCCTCCTCCTCCTCCTCCTCCTCCTTCTCCTCCTCCCCCTCCCCCCTCCTCTTGCGTGTAGCCGATAGTGTTCTCCGGCGTTGTGCTTCTTTTGCAACGCGGGCCCCCGAGAGGCTCTGGCTCCTTACGCGGGGCCGGCTCTTCATCCCGAGCCGTCTCTCTGACGGCCATGGGGCCCAGGGCCCAGGGTCCAGGAAGGGCCCCCGGAGGCCGAGGCTGGCGAAGAGTGCCTCCCAGCTTGCTCTTTCCACGGTGCGAGGAGGGTTTGGGTGCGTGCAGCCGGTGACGTCCCCCGATCCTTCTCCTTTTCCTCCTTCTCCTCCTCCTCCTCCTCTTCTCCTCTTCTTCTCCTCCTCCTCCTCCTCCTCCTCCTTCTCCCCCTCCCTCCTCGACCATCCTCGACGGCGGCGGGAGGCGGGGAGGCGGAGGAGGGCGGGGCTGCTTCTCAGGAGCTGCTGGAGTGCGGCATCGACCCCGGCCAGATCGACGCGGAGGACGTCGCGGGCAGGGCGCGCTTCGATCCCATCGATCCGATTCGATCACGAGGGGAGGTTTTTCGCTATTTTCGGCCTCCCAGGGCCCTCGCCGGGCCTCGGGAGCGTCAAAAAACGACTCTGGACGGAAAGCCAGCCCTGGGGAAGGGGTCCAGACCTCTGGGGGTCGACGTTGCGACAAAAATCAAGACGTCGGAGGTCTGGCGATGCCAGCCAGACAGATCCGACGCTCCCGACGTCTCGACGATCTGCTGCGGCGCCGACGCTTTCACGCCGCTCTTGTGCATCGTGGTTCGGCCGGTCTGGCTCGACTCCGACCGCGTCCCGACGCGGCCCGATTCGATCTGATCCCATCGATGCTCAGTATCGTTTAACCGATCCCTAACCCCATCCCCATCCCTATTCCGATCCCCACCATCTTACCACCCCAGTTGTGGATGTTCCTCTCGAAGCCCGAAGGGAACAGCGGGGTGAATCGGCCAGTAGGACTCAGGCAACGCTCATTGGGGTAGTGGTCGGATAAGCGATGCTCAGATGCTGGCCGCTCTTGCGCGGGAAGGAGGCCCACGTCACGGCCGGGGCCGGGCGGCATCTCTCCTTCTCTCCGCCCCGTTTGGGGCCCCCAGGGAGCACGACAGGTGTCCTCGTGCTGATCTCGAGCAGGCGTTGCGTCGCCAGGCTCCCTCCATGCACCACCTGCACGGCACGCATGTTGTCAATAACCACAGGGGGGAGGGGGGGTGGACTCATGGGCGCACGCTCGCGGTCAGTCGATGATCGCTCCTCCAGATTACAGCTTGCTGTGCATCAGCAGGCTTTGACTGGGATCGGCCGTGCGCCGACGTTCGCCGGACGGCGCCGTCGCTGGCGTCCTCCCGTTTCGAGGAGTGCCGGGGTCTCGCATCGAAGGGGGAATCCCAAATCTTCTCCCAATATCGTTGGAGCTTTGGTCTCAGCGGAGCCTTACCTTTACCTTACCTTACCTTACCTTATCTTACCTCCTCCTCCTCCTCCTTTTCATCCTCCCACTGCTCTCATTGCGCTCGCTTTCCATGCATATCGCAAGGCTCAGGCTGTGGTGACCCGTGGGGACCAGCTGACGCCAACACGTCAGCGAGCCACAGTCGAAGTAGCCCTGCACGCCACTGACATTTAAAGCGTTAGACGCTGTGGACAGGCTTGCCTCAGGTACTGCTGATCCTCCCCCCCGGGCCTCCTCCTCCCTGGCCTCCTCCTTCTCTTCCTTCTCCGTCTCATATCGAGCATCGACGGACGAGGATCGATACTGTGGAAATGGGAGGCTTTACCTTTTCGTGCCATCTTGGCCAGAGGCCCGCAGACCACATCACTCCTCCTCCTCCTCCTCCTCCTGCTCTGCCTCCTCCTCGTCCTCCTCCTCGTCATTATCCCCCTTCTTCTGCTGCTGCTCCTCCTCCTCATCCTCGTCCATCTCCTCCTCCGCCTCCTCCTCCTCCTTCTCCTCCTCCTCCTCCCTCTCCTCCTTCTCCTCCTCCTCCTCCTTCTCCCCTCGGCCTCGTCTTGGTGATGCCCTGCCTCCTTCTCCTCCTGCTCCTTCCTCCTCCTCCTCCTGCTCCTCCTCAACCCCCTCCTCCTCCCCCTCCTCCTCCTCCTCCTCCTCTTCCTCCTCCTCCTCTTTCTCTCCCCCCCCCCTCCTCTTCTCTTTCTTCCTCCTCCTCCTCCTCTCCTCCTCCTCTCCTCTTTCTTCTCTCCTCCTTCTCCTCTTCCTCCTTTTCCTCCTCTTCCTCCCCCTCCCCCTCGTCCTCCTGCTCCTCCTCCTCCTCCTCCTCATCATCATCATCTTCTTCTTCCTCATCGTCTTCCTCCTCCTCCTCCACCTCCTCCTCCTCCTCCTCCGCCCCCCTCTTTTCCTCCTCCTCTTCCTTCTCGTCCCTCTCCTCCTCCTCAGCCTCCTCCTCGTCCTCCTTCTCCTTACCCCCCCCTCCTCCCTCACGCGCTCATCACACGCTCGGCGATCATCCGAAGGCAGCGCGTGCTGCCCGAGTGGCGGGCCGAGGTCGCCCCCCGACGCGGCTCGGCCGTATGACGATGCAGCCAAGACGCTGGAGCGTGGACCACACTGGGCTCGGGGTGTGGCTCGGTCCTCGGGCCGTTCCCGAGGTTCAGGTCGGGGAGCCTGTTCGTGGCCGATGCTCGCCGTGGCCAGACAAAGCCCCTTCGTTCCCTCGTTCCTCACGATTCCTTACGGTCGAGAACTGTTGGTTATCGTGTCGCGCCGCTGGTTCTTGTCCACCGCGTTTCGGCGCGACACGCTATCCACATCCCAGTCCCGAGGCTTCGACGTTTCGAGCCTTTCCTAGCATCCCACCCCGCGGAGCGGAGAGACACGCTATCCGCTCGCATGGCATATCTTCTCGCTGGGGCCGCCGCTGCGGTACGCTACACAAAAGTTCCCGACCGTATTCGTGGCAGATGCTCGCCGTGGCCAGACAACGCCCTTCGTTCCCTCGTTCCTCATTCAGTGTTACCCCTGGTAGTCGCCTTGGATCCTTCTTCTGAGACGCTGGCCCCCGCCCCCCTCCTCCTCTTGGGATGAAGGATTTGGTGGCTAGTGCGATGGTGGTTACTGCTGTCTGCTTGCGCAGTTAGAAACTACTGAACCAGGCCTAGCCACCATTTCGTTATCTACATGATGGATTGCCAGAATTGCAGATTATCCACGCAGGACCCCCGCTAATCACCATTTGTGGTTGCGACATGGTGGTCGGGACCTGTGGGGTTTAGGGTTTAGGGTTTAAGGTTTAGGGTTTAGGGTTATTACTCTGACGGATCTTGCAAACTGGCTCAGCCACCAACGCCCCAGCCACCATTTCGGAAGTTCGAATCCCCCCCTCACGACGACGACGACGATCGGCATGGGCCGTGCCAGGAAGAGATGAAGGAGCTACAAAAGCGCCTCACCACTGCCAGGGCGCGCTTCGCCGGCCGTCCCCGCGCCCTCCCGCTTGGTCGCCGCCGCCGTAGTCGTCGTCGCCGCCGCGGCGGTGGTGGTGGTGGTCCTCGTCGTCGAGGACGAAGAGGCCGAGAACGAGAAGGTCAACGGCGACGAAGATGAGGAGGAGGCGGCGGAGGAGGAGGATGAGGAGGAAGAGGAGGAGGAGGAGGCCCAGAGCAATCCCACGGCCCCAGGGTGACCTCGGGCCTCTGGTCGGTCGGTCGGTCGGTCGGTCGGTCGGTCGGTCGGTCGGTCGTCGTCGTCGTCGTCGTCGTCGTCGTCGACGTCGTGGTCGCCGTCCTCGTCGTCCTCGTGGTCGTCGTCGTGGTCGCCGTCCCCGTCGCCGTCGCCGTCGCCATCGTCGTCGTCCGCATCCTGGTCGTCGTCGTCGTTGCCGTCTTTGGGTCTCCGCGGAGGGGCCGTGGAGACCTCTAAAGGCCTCTGGAGGCCCAAGAAGGGGCCAGAGTCGGCCAGTAATCGTCGATCTTTGATCTTTGACGTCCTTGTCGTCGTCGTCGTCGTCGTCCCCAGACGTCCGCCGCCTCAAGAGAATCGAGGCGGCCAGCCGGCCTGTCGCTAGTTTTTGGGCTTCTGAGGGCCGTCGGGCAACGGTTCGGGACGAGAAACCAGGCCTGGGGAAAGGGCCGAGAGGTCCAGGGGCCCAGGCGGCGACCAGATCGAAGCGCCAGACGTCTGGGTCGTAGTTGTCGGCGGCGTCGTCTCCGGCCGGTGGCCCTCCTCCTCTCGCCCCCCACTCCAGGGAGCTCCGAGAGATTGGGGGGAACAGGGTGGGAGGGGAGGAGGTTTGCCAGGAAGGAGGAGGAAGAGGTGGAGGAGGAGGAGGAAGAGGAGGAGGAGGACTAAGAGGAGAGGAAGGAGGAGGATGAGGGTGAGGGTGAGGGTGATGAGGATGATGAGGATGATGAGGATGAGGATGATGATGATGATGATGATGATGATGATGATGATGATGATGATGATGATGATGATGATGATGATGAGGAGGAGGAGGAGGAGGAGGAGGAGGAGGAGGAAAAGGAGGAGGAAGAGGGGGGTGGGAGGAGGAAGATGTTGAGGGGGATAGGGAGGAGGAGGAGGACGAGGAGGAGGAGCAAGAGGATGATGATGCTGATGATGCTGATGATGATGAGGAGGAGCAAGAGGATGATGATACAGATGATGCTGATGATGATGAGGAGGAGCAATAGGAGGAGGAGGAGGAGGAGGAGGAGGAGAAGGAGGAGGAGGTGGTATGTGCTTTTGATGATGATGAGGAGGAGCAGGAGGAGGAGCAGGATGAGGAGGAGGAGGAGGAGCAGAAATAGAAGGAGAAGAAGAAGGAGGAGGAGAATGAGGATGATGATGACGCTGAAGCTGATGATGGTGATGATGAGGCTGATGATGATGAGGAGGAGGAGGAGGAAGAGGAGGAGGAGGAGGAGGAGGAGGAGGAGTGGCAGCATGAGGTGGTGGAGGAGAGGGGGGGACGGGAGGATGGTGCATAGGAGGCAGAGGAGGAGGAAGAGGAGGAGGAGGTGGTGGAGAAGGAGGAGGAGGACTTCTGTCCCAAGTCCCCCCGTCGCATACGCCCCTGCATGTCCTCCTTTTCACACCGCACCCCTCCTTGACAGACTTGCACAGCGTGGCATACCATTTTGGCCAGGACTCCACTTTGAAAAGAAACTGCCTGACATCTTTCTGGCGCGTAGTCAGGGCTGCGAACATCATGATCATACAGTTCAGCGAGGTGTCCAGCGACATCCCCCTTTCGAAGGAGGACGGACCCCCCATCCGTGTAACTGTTGGACAGTTTTACAAGTGTGGCCATGCACTCCAAGAATGTCTCAAGCGACAGGCCCAATGCGAAAGCAGCTTCCGCCATGAATCCATGCAGCTCTACGTGCATTGAAGAATCGGGTCCTCAAGACTGAGCGAGGTCTCAGGCCGCATGTGTCAGGGCCCACACACCAATAAAGCGTTAAAGAGTCATGCTATTATCATACCTTCTCGTCCTATTCTGCAGCTCGTTACCTGACTCACTACCTGAATATGGGGCTTCAGTTTTCGTTGACCCAGTGTGTTGTTCAACTCAGTTGAACCACGGCTATTCGTTTCGGCACTTAAAGCATGGCCCGGAGTTCCGCCCGTAATCTAAGCGGACTTTTGTATGAACTTGTGGTTGCCAATTCTTGTGCTTCCCACTGTTGCAGCACATAATCAAGGACGAACCCCCCGCCATGTTCAACGCTGCGTTGTACACACCTGCGAACTGTGAACATAGTATTGTTGTTGCTTACCTTGCCCTCTGCACTCTCCCCGTCACCATTGCGGATGTTCCGTCTGGGGCGATTATGTATTCTGCCGCTGTTGGGCTCGACATTTACATTTCAGTTTGATGTGTGTTCGCTGCGAGTTGCGGGTGTTATCTTGAAGTGAATCAACTTATCGAAGACACCTACGGCGAATCACCGCCGCCCCCTGCCTTTTTGGAAGCGCCTGCGTGGCCGAAAGTTGGGTTTGAGCTTGGCCAAGCTATCGGGCAACGCGTTCCCCGAGTGGGTGTTGAAAGCCTTCGGGGAACACGGAGTCGGGCCAGCTATCGGACCAGGTGGTTTCCGAGTTTTCGGGCCTCCTGGAGGACGTCTTGGAGGGGTCTTGGGCCGTCTTGGAGGCCTTTGGCGGGCCTTCTGGGCAGCCTAAAGCCATCTTCAGGCCATCTGGGGCCGTCTTGGGTGCATCTTGGGGCCATCTTCGCAGTCTTGGAGGCCTTCCTGGCCGTCTTGGAGGCATCGTGGAGGCCACCTTGGCTGTTTTGGAGGCCGTCTTGGGCGTCTTGGGGGTCTCGCTGGGCCGTCTTGGGGCCTTCTTGGGGCGCTTCGGGGCCGTCTTGGAGACCATCTAATGGACATATGAAAGTAGTGAATGATTGTTCTTGTATGCGTCAAGGAGTGTACTGTTATGCAGGCAGCAGCATGGCCATAGCTGTTTCGGGTCAACCGATAATATGACGGCCTAGCGCCGCACCAGGTGGCCCCCCAGGGTAAGTACAGGCTAGCCACACTCGTGCCATGGTGTCGGCGCCCTCGGAGGCGTCACCTGCTGACAGCGCGGCCGCAGAGGAGTCTTGGACATCCTGGCTGGCGCTACGATCTGCGATCATATGTGGACTTCTGTGTTTCATTCAGTACTTCAGAGCCGAGTCGGGGCGCAGCGGAATGCTGTACGTATTCATCGGTGTCGTCCTACTCTTTGGTGCCTTCGCCTACTGGGTCGTGCGGGAGGTCCAGGACTGGTGGAGGTGCTACACAGGCCAGGACGAGCTGTCCGACTTGAAGGCGAGACTAGCGGCGCTGAGCCTGGGCGGTGTAGATGCGGCGGCAGAAGGCGATGCGCTTGGACTGCCCCCTCCTCCGTCGGGGCAGGCGCCGGGGCCTCAGGACCTGGGGTCCTTCCCTGTGCCGGGCCCGCCGCCGGTGAGTGAGACTGTTCCCGGCCTGGATCCGAGCATGACCGCGTTCCACCAGTTCGCGCAGGGCGCCGACGCTGGCGGCCCCGTCTCACTAATAGGGGGTCCGTTAGCTGGTGCAGCCCTGGGAGGCGCCTCCCCGCAGGCGCCGCCTGCAGCTGGGGCCGCGGCCGTGCCGGGCAGCCAGGCGAAGACGGCGGCGGCGCAGAGTGCGGCGCTCGTGAAGGAGAGCCTCACACGCTGGGCAGCGACATCCTCGGGCAACCCGTGGTGGGGCACGCTCTTCTGGAAGGATGTGCACAACTTTGAGCTCCAGGGTCGCCTCGATCCAGCCGTGAAGGCTGCCCCAGCTGCTCGGGGCTATCTTGGACAAGCGACAGTGAACCCCCCGGACCCCAAGGTGCTCGAGCCCATGCTGAACGGCTTCGAGAGTGCCGCCCTGTCGGGCGGGTTCGGCGGCAGCTTCGGCAGCCCGGCCACGCAGGGCGGGCTCGAGGTGGACACTTGGGCGCACGCTTTACCTCCAGACTTCCGACGGGCTGGCGTGGAGATCTACCGCAATATCAGGTCAGCGGGATCATCGAGTGTGCGACACTGGTTGGAGCGTCAATTCACAGGCCACCGAGGTGGCGAAGTATGGCAAAGTCTCTGGAATACTGCATCCACAATTGACTTTGAATTGGGTCGATGTCGCTCAGACCAAGAGCTCATGACGATACTATCCACGAGTGACATGGTCGAGCTTGGTCTACGATACCTCTCAGCATTTGTCTATGAGAGCAGAACCCATGACAAAGTAGGGGCCGCCCGCCTTCGGGCGGTAGCGGCCCCGGGAAGTGGAATCGATATTGCCCCAACTTGGCTGATATCAGAAGCTACTACTCATTCTAAGATGGAGCATCAAAGGTCAGAACGCGTGGCATCCGAGCTCAAGAGGCGTGAGGTCCACAAGGACGGCAAGGGCGCGAAGGGCAAGGGCCGCGGGGGCAAGTGGCGCCCCGAGAAGGGCCCGCTCCTTCAGCCGCGGGGGCGGGCCGTGCGAGATGCTCCAGAGCAGCGGCAGTACCAGTGCAAGAATGAGGACATGATCGTGGGAAATAAACAGTGGGTGCCCAAGAGGGCGTGCGAGGCACGGCTGAGTGAGTCGGGGCTGGGTCGGAGCGCTCCTTGCTTCCTCAGCCTCGCGGAGGTAGCCGCAGCTGTTCACGCGGGGCGGTCTCCACTTCCAGTACCTCTCTTACCTCCGTCAGGTCGGATGAGCACGAGGACAGGGCGTGGACGGCAACGGCCCGCACGACGGCAGCGGGTGCGTTCGGTAGCAAATGATATTTTGGAGTCGCTCAATGCGGCTCACCTGGGAACTCTACAGAGGTCAACGCGAAGTCGGCGCTCAGAAGTGAACTACCTGAATGATGACGGTACCGAGGCCATGATCCAGCGGCGAGCAGTGCGGAGCGCCCAGGATCATGTGAATGTTCGTCGGTGTTTTGGCACGACAGGCGTACAGGCG